CTCTTACTGCAAACTGAAATTGAAAAGGGGGATTTGTCTTCCATTAACACGGCTTAACAAAATAAAGACACGTTATTAGGTAAGTCTACTTCATTATGATTAAAACACTAAACAATAACTGTCTTACTTCTTGTATACTTCGCAAAAGTCACTCACAATCCAAACATTAAATTTCATGAGAACAGTGATTCATCCTTTCTAAAAGTCATTTAAAACAAATAAACACATTTAACCAACACGCATGTGAGAGTAAAAATTCCCTCCGAGTTAGGAGACAAAATATATTTTTCATTCTTTATCACTACATCGACAATTGCGTAGGATTCAGATTCGCCCGTGCCAGGATGTCATCTTGGAAGATGAGCCCTGTGGACTTCACCAGGCCGGGCCTCTGCCGCGCCGCGCCGACTGATTGCAGTACATCAGGCGAGGCTCTGTCATATTACCCTGCGCCGCCCTTTACATTCATCTTTTCCTTGAAAGGGGCCAACGATCCACGAAGATTGTACACGCAATCACAACCTCCCGCCCGCATGCATAATGCAACACCCCGTCCGGGGGAGTCGAGTACCGACGCGTTACACGAAACGTCTCTTAAATTGAAATCGGCCGGCGCTGCACCGCCGCTCGGCTGGCGAATTTAGCAAAGTTCATCGCAACGAGACGCGCTATCTGCGACGCGCGCGCGGGGGCGAGGGAAGGGCGGAGTCGGGGGCGGGTCTGCAAGAGGCCGGAGGACGCTGCGCGGGACTGGACGGCGACAGACGAAACGGGCGGGAGCGGGCGGTGGACGGCGGGTCGGGAAGGAGCAAGGCGGCCCTTTCGGTTATTCTGCATGTCAACGAAATTCCAAAATGTCTAGAAAATTTAACTCCCATAACACATCTATTCGGTTCACATCAGAGAGCGACAAATGGAGCGTTAAATTATTTCAATGGTTCGTTGTTAGAGGTTCCGGGCGCTTCAACTACTAGGGTCAGTAGTCCCGTACGTGTAGTGCACGTTTTTTCGCTGGGAAGGTGACGGTGATCTTTCCCCGCTGGATGGCAAGTTCCGGCGCCGACCTACCGTTCGCTAGCGGGGTTTCCCTCAACCAGATATCTCCCACCAACTGGGCACCACCCCAAGCGAAACAAGCTCTAAACTCCCGACCGGTCTCCCGGCATGTGTAGTAGTGTAGTGCATGTTAGTGTAAGTGTGTGAGGATAGGACAAAGAAGAGGAAAGAAAGATCGCCGCGGTCTGTCGCCCGTTTGTTAGGATACTGCTCCGGCATTCGCCTGGTGTTGATCGGAGAAACCATGCAAACTATCAATCCGAGCATTTACGGGATGTGCTGGAGGTGAGGTCATATCATTCTTTCGAATCTCTCCCTCTTAAAAGCAAGTACAATCTTTTAATGGTTTCGTTGTTATAATATTAGTGGTTGCAGTGGTTAATGAAATTAATTAGTAATTTACTACAATAAATAATTTACCCGCGCACTAGGCGCTTCAACATTTTCTCCGTTTCGCTTATAAACCAACAGCACGAGCAAGTGCGATACATTTACTTGAAATAATATTCGCACAGAAAGTATATCACACAGGAAACTGAACAATGTCATATCAGAAACATTAGTGCAGAAATTGTACACAGATTCTGCACTAATTTAGTGGTTGGTACAATAAGGCGATCTCTACGCTTAAAATAATACTTCAAAATAATGTGGAAGACATTCTGTAAACTACATCTTCTTCTCAACACATCATAACGTCACAAAATAAACTGACGTTTTTTTCTGAGCGTCTCCTTGAAGCCCTTAATATGCAAGAAGTGTGTGACATTTCACTCTCACAGCGGGCAGGCAATAAGCGCTAATGGACCACAACACGTAAGGAGGGGAGCTATGAGAGAGAAGGAATATTAAAAGTTGTCAGAGATAGAGACGATATTAAAAATACTTTCATTGTATCAACTCTATACAACGTCCTCTATACTTTTCCAGCGAATAATTGTAAGTAAAGTATTTTTGTATGTAACAGGAAAATTACAAATGTCTTATTTTTGGGAAGTGTGGTGCCACTATTTAGTACGGAGATTGCCAATTCAATTATAAATAAATGTAATTGAAAATTTAAAACGTGTGTAATTATATTTTGAAGATTTTTTAGAATGTTGTTTTCAGTCTGCCACTATTTTTTAATGAGTGTTCCGAGAAGAGCTGCATTTCACCACAAAAATCTTGGCTATTTACGAATATCTTTTCTGGTTTTGACTTGTAATTATTGGAGTAAGAGTATCACGGGTTTTTCGTCAGCATGGCAGTATGAGAGCAAGTTTAATTTTATATTCCTAACCTTACTTTAGATATCCAGTTTGTCAAGAAATCTAATATGTCACATGTCCTCTTTTAAAATCCTTACTATTGTTATGACAAAGAGTTTATATATATATATATATATATATATATATATATAATTTAAGTATTTATTATTAGGAGAGATTAAAAGCTGCGAGAAACGTCCTGAAGCAAGAAAAGAGGGAAGTATCTCACCATTCGGTTTAAGGATTATTGGAAATTGCACAAAACCCATACGAAATGTAGTTCATTGATCAAGGAATTGGTTTCAATATTTCTTTCAGATAAAAACATTAAATTTTCATTTAAAACATAATAGAAACTAATAATTTATATGATTACTTTTGTGTTAATACGTTTCACTATGACAACAAAATTTACTTCATTTTCCTGAGTCTGGATTTCCTCTGACAATATAAAAAACTTTTTAAAAAAATGTTTCACATTTAATATTTTACAAGCACGTAAAATAATACGATACGACTGGTAACAAAAATATAACGAATACGTTTAAAGGAGGGTGTTTTCACACAAATGCCTTCATTTCTAAATTTAGCGCCAATATTCTGGTCCACCGATTATAAGCCCTCCTTGAGACTAATCGAATCTACACTCGTGCACTTTTTATTTGCGCGCCTTGGAGATAACCAATTCTTTTTACACGCGATTTGCATGTCCGCGAATTAACACTTCAGACAGCTATGCCAACGAGCTTTAAAAGCAAGACCGGTTTTGTTACTTGTCTACAGCTTGTCTGTCAGATGGTAGCACGGACGTGGGCGACTCTTCTACAAACTCTTAGGTCGTTCGTTACGGTCGTCCTTTATCGTTGGTTACGATCCACAGCGCATTGTCCAAATCTCAATGTTTTTGTTTTGCATCTTCTCAGGATCTTCAGGTTTGACTTGCTAGCTGTACCCCCATAGTTCCATGCTATAAGTCCATGTTGGCTTGATTATTGCTTTGTAGAGCAATATTTTGTCTAAGGAGTGTAAGAAGAGATTATCCACACAAAACCAGTGTATAGCGTAAAACACTTCACCTTTGGCACACAAAAAAATGAAAGTTTTCAGAAGTGTCTTATTTTTATCCACCAACGCTTACAAGTTAGTATTAACAGATGAACATTAGCAGCCAATTTTGATAAGGAGAACTAATTCTGTTCCCCAGTTTCATGAAATATAATGAAAACCTTCATTATTTCGACAGTGCAAATATCAGTGGTGGTCTATTATTAGTATTTAACATTTGTAAATATTTTTCTGTTTTATGGCATATTTAATAGAATTCCTTTTGAAAAAATGTTTTTGCTTATTAAGAGTTTGACACTTCGTCCGCAGAGCTGAAAGTTTTACTATTGAGCCTATACAAGATATATTTTCGACCTTTCCCCATAGGCGGAGACTGACTGCACTGGCAAGCGATACGAAAACGCTGTGACCAGCGTCGGAGGGAAACCCGCCAAAAACAGCCGCAGGCGCAAAATAACGATAAACCGTGATTTTTTGCTCAAATGAAAACACGAGCAATCACACGACAGGGACCATGAACCGCAAGGCGCGGACTTCCGGCGGAGGCCACAGAGTTGGGCTCGTCTGCCGCAGGGGGCACTCCCGCCTTCCCGTTTCCGGTACCTGAGGCCGGCATCTCCGCCTCCGCCTCCGCTGTGGCCTCCGCACCCAATCCTCCGAGGCAGGGCTGCCCCACGGCCGCCCCACGGCCGCATCCGACGGGGGCGGTAGCGTGGGCTGTGGTGGAGATTGATTGATTGTCTTGTTTCCAGACGCATGCACGCCTAATGTCGTTAGTCCCGTTAGTACAGTAGTCCATGTTGGAAGGCGCAGGGACCCTCCTTCACAGCAAAACGGGAACCGGCGCTTACCTAGAAGGCCGGCTACACGCCGGCTTGTCGGGTGGGTACCGTTCGCGATCTGTGTCAGCCCCAGCCCGAACAACTTACAAGCTCACGACTGCTCTCATGCCATTTACAGCAGAACAGATTTGGTGGAGGCGATAATGATGACGATAACGCGGAAAGGGGGCGATGCTGACGATGACAGGGGTTGCGTTTGGTGCCCAGCTGAATATAACGCATGTAGAGAGGGACGTCGCGATGTGAAGTATCGGTACAGGAGCAAGGGCGCTTCACTCGTTGCTCGAGGTTTCCCGGCACGGCAACTGTTAATGTCCTTACTTCCGTAAGCAGAGTTCATGTTTTATCGCGGGAGGTGATGGCGATCTTCCCCCACTAGCTGCCGCCATCTGGCGTCGACCTGGACAAAGGCACTGCAGTGACATCAGCAGGCCTTCACCCTTATTTCTGCCCGTTTCGGTCCGTTCTCCTGCACTTTCGACATTCGGGAGATCTCCCTTTCATTGTTCTGCTCAGCTCCTTGTGTAGAGGACTTATCAGAAACCGAGAATTTAACACTTAAATTGTTTTCAAGTCAGTAATTTAGAGAGAATTATAATACCTACAAAACATTGCATGTTAAGAGTACAAACTGTAATATTTTTGAAATGATTTCTGAGTCACCAAGGCTGAAGGTACTAAGCTTGCCAACATGAAAGATAAAGGATATTTGTAAATTTACGTTTGGTTGTCGGTTTTGGAATGTTAGTTTTGTTTCTAAATTCACCTTTTTAAGAAGTATGTTTACGGTTATGTCGCTATTAATTGGACTTCCCAATTGCATTCAGTAAAAAATGTTTTTATGAACGTTAGTCTTGACAAAAAAAAATCCAATCGTCAACAAACCAGTATCTACTATTATACATCACTCACCGAGGTAAAGAAGCAGAATTCTGTGTTCAAAAAGTGTCTTATGTTTATTTGACCCTAATTTCAAAATTCACGTTTTACACTTCATAATATCCAACACATTTACAATGACTTTGTACTTAATTATACATATAAAAAATTGCGGCATAACAGTAATTGCTGAATTAGGAAATGTTTCCAACAATGGAACAAATGTTATACATTTATTTCCTTACACATTTTGGATTCTCGATGGAGTTTTGTGGGAAAATAATCAAAATGGTGGTGTATTGAAGATGCACGTTGATGTCGATGTCATGATAAATGCTCGATGAAGAGATCGTTGCGAGCGCCTCCATTTTGTCGGGGCGCAAAATACGTCGTGAGAATCCACTCATTTTTCGGCGAGGGAGCAAGAAATTTAGTTTCAGCTCAACTGCACTGCCCGTAGTACGCCAGGGTCACCTCTGCAAAAAAGAAAAACGAATATGTGTTAAAACCCTATGAAATCATAGAACAGATGGAACAGTATTTCTCTCAATACATGTTGGTACCTAACCTATCGGATCCTTCAATAACTACACGTGCACGATGAGGGGCGCGTCTTTGGGAACTACGGGGGAGGGAGGGGAGCGAAGTAAATGAAAAGTGTACGAAAACTACAAAAATTAGTGTTTTATATACAGGGCGATAACAGAGCGATGGACAGTAGACGCATTAAGAGATGTCTCTGCCTGCCACCTTCTTTTGTGATGGTCATGCACTTTCGCGCACCACCATTATATTTTTAAGCCGAAGACAATCTCGTTTGGGAGTGTATGGGAGGCAGATTGTGGTCTGAGCGGCGAAGTGGCTGCCGAGTCCGTCTACTCTCGAAGCAAACAAAGGTCTCCGCTGAACCTCCCCCTGCTTCGCCACCCTCTGCCACCTACCACCCCCTCTAACCCCTGCGACCCTCTATCACCCGTTCGCCCTTCCCGCCTGTTCCGACCTCCGCCGTTACACCCGCAAACCCTAGCCGCCGCCGCCGCCGCCGCCCCTCCCCCATGTGTACCACTCGTTACCCCGCCCTTCTCAGCGTCCCCATTTCCGGGAAGACCCACCCTTGGGTTTAGACTTCATGACCGCCTCCCTCACCGGTGTATTTGGAAAATATCAGGATTTTTTCTATAAAACAAATGTGTCAAATTTCTAAACTGTATGTGACTTATGGCGGCAAAGGACAATCTCTGCACGTTTTCTTCAGCCCCGGAATCCCTACCCCCGCTCTTGTACTATAATATGTTGAATTGCGCGTAAAAGTAATAATGAACGCTTTCGACATTTTTAAAATAAAAGAAATATTCGCTCCCGTGAATGTATTTGTATCGGTAAATGACCTATCGTTTTTGCCGCGATCGTTCCCCAAGTGATGGAATCCAGAATGATAATTGGGAACGATTATTTGTTGGAATTATTAAGAAATATCTAAATTCTTCACCAACATCCCACAGTGATCAACAAAAATTGTGGAAATAATGAACCAGGAGATGCAGTACTTGTTACAAACATATTTAGTCTTTGGGAATTATTCAGTGCAAATAATAACAAATGCATTAGTGTTATTAAAATTATTAATATTTCAGTTTTTATTCCTAAGTATTGTGTTTAATTGCAGAGAAATAGTTATGAAGCAGGAAATGGAAAACCATATTAGGGCAAATACAACTCGTATAATGTCTTCAGTTATCGCAATATAATCTTGAGATATAATAATTGGTAAATGGTTCGGGAGTGATAATACAGCAGTACAGGGACATCTTGAGATGATATTTGGTCTATTTTCTTTAAAAATACAGATAATGTAAAATTACAAAATTCAAAAAATTTGTTTTTGATAAATTACCAAAAATATGCTTGACCATTTATCTTATCTTTATAGGTACCCGTGTCTTTATGCCCAGCCTCGAATCTTTGAGAGGTGACTGTACCATTTCCCCTGTCATAAGGAAAACAGCATCTTCTTAGCATCTGGATCGAACGCGTTCCAGGCAATACTTTTATGTTTCATTAAGGAAATACCACGAAGGGGAAAGGAATCAACAAGACTTAAGTAAGGAAAGCAAGATATTCCACGAACCGTGACGTCAAATGAGACCTTGTCGTTCAATCGACTCTTAGGACGAGTACTCTTCACTCTTGAGTGTGACGTAATACAGACGCTCCGCGGTACTGGCAAACATTGCTTTGTGGGACAAGGCTGTTTCAGCGTATGCATATGACCAATTTCTTATGAACTGGCTTACTAGGAGACTAGAATCTATTTCAATGATAGTCGGTTGTCGAAGACCCCAAGGTTATCTTCCCAAGAAAATTCCCTATAATATTCTTTGGAATTGTTGAGAAATTTCAGAAATAAATAAGAATATAGACAGAAATAAAAATTAGAGCGTAACCCCCCAGGAAGTATTTGACACTGCACTTTTATTATGTTGTTTGTGAATGGTTACATTTATTGTTTAGACCTACATTTTTGTGGATCGTCTGAGATATTTCAAAGGTATCGTGCAAGGGTCACCCGAGGATGAAGTCGTGTAGTATAGGAAGGGAATCGTCCTAAGTTGAAAATTTTGGATGGGGAAGAATTCAGATTAGAGATTTAAGCGTAATATAAGGAGTTTCTCGGTAGAGAGTGGATAAGGCTACATAGCGATGAAAAGGTCTATTAGATGAACATTAAGAAAATATCTTAATTCCCCACGTCTATAATCACATCGGCTTTCAAGTTATGAATTTTAGGCCACGCTCTCTTGCAAGCTAGATCCATAACAACGAAGGTAGTTCCGATTGCACAAGACAGGTTATAGCTGATTGAACATCATTGAAAATGAGTTTGATGGCATCGCTAAGAATGTTAGGAATTTTCATATATAGGATCGAATAAGACAAAGAGAAACGTGCATGAACATTCTGGTATTGTGGTCGCGTTAGAGAGGCAGCCACTGGAATAAATTCTAGTTCTATTACTGTTAAAATTATTTATGTTTTGTGGAAAGTCAGATGTCAGTTTTTGATATAGGTAAGGTTGCGGATGCGGGCAGGTCAATATTAATTTTGTGACTATTTATTTTCTAGACGTGTTGGAACGAGTCTCTTCTGAATTGGGATTTCTTCTAAAAAGTAGGGTCGTTCTTTATAATTTGCCGTGTGTTAATCTTTACAACTTGTGCATTGTGGAAAGCCTCCCCCCGTGCTCACCGTATCCGCAGCGCTGGGCGCAGCGGAGCTTGGTGGGGTTGTTGTAGGTGGCGCCGTTGGAGCCGCACACCGGGTTGTACTCCTGCGTGGACTGGCACTGGCAGTTGACCGGGCGCCCGGCGGCGTCCACGAGCGGCCGCGGTGGGCGCGGTGCGCGGGCGGGGGTGGGCGTGGTCGTGTCGTCCCTGGGCGTCGGGCCGCCCTTGCTGCGCCTCGCCTGCACACCACACCACACTCACTTTTATGTGTGAATGTATATGTATCTAGGTATTAACTTGCATATATATATATATATATATATATATATATATATAATGTAGTATTTTTATATAACTTTGATCCCAATTTCATATTAAAGTAAATAATGTTAGAACTATTTATGCACCGTTTGTTAATATAATTGATAAATTAAGAGAATTGCTTCTCAAACATTTTGTTGTGAATATTTGTATTATTGATTAATAGTCTTATAAGAGCAAATGAATGTAAACCGATTTTGTTTTAAATTACCTTTCAATTACTGATGTGTAACAAATTGTGTTTAATGAACAAAAAGCGTATTGTCCGCGACATAGGCACACAGACAACTGATGATGATGGCTAAGCCATCGAAAGCTGCTATTGCATTAAATAATATTGTTGGCAATGACAACGTCTTTAATTATTTTATAGGCACACAGGTTAGAGCAAACGCTCATGGACTTGGGTCTACGCCGCGGTCTGCCGCAGCTTGCGGTCTAATGTACTATTTGAGTACGAAAATAAATAATTCTATGTATATCACGCATTACTCATCGGACATTAAAACACTTCGCATACATTTTAGAATAACAGATCTTTTCTCTCGCATACTAATTTTCTTTGAGTTTGACATTTGATTTTCGGAAGATTTGCCGTGATATTCCCGCTCTTGCTACCACGCGTTACACGAAAACCCACCCTTCATTCTTATGATTGCTATCTATGCTTGTCTCCGTAAAGTGGTGGCAAAAAATGATTACGGAGGATCTAATGACGTTGATCCTCGTTAGGACACTATTAGCGATATCACAAATTCACTATCACATCAAGCACAAAGACATGACACGACATGACCTTCCACACTTTTGTCCCCTGCCCCGAGGTTATTTCCTCTCCGCATTATGATCTCCTTCCCGAGACTTAGTTGCATCGAAGAGTCCTCTGAGATGTGTACCAGGAGACGACAGCTTAGAAAAGCAGCCGAGTACTACTTTAGGCTTTATTAATGGCTTCAGGACCTTTGACCTAGCCCTGTAAAATGTTCAACATTTGTAATAAATGGCCAACTAAATAAAAAAGTAACGTCACATACATCGAACAACATGCTTGAGCAAGTTGTTTTGAGATAAATAAGTAAATTAATTGTGTACATAGACATGCAATGCAAGCACGCTCCACCACACCCCTGACCTAACACAGCAAGAACATGAAGTTTGCCCAGTTCAGTCTTCTTCGCCTCTCCGACATCTCAACCTATTTGGCAACCTGTAGAACGAGTTCGAGGAAAAATATTTGTGTTAAGCTTACAGTTACAACAGTGAGAAACGACATGAGCAGAGATGACTCGACACGAACTTCATGCTGCACTAACTCGGAGACGTCGGTAAAAAAGTGGACACTGACCCCAGAACTAATATTCAGAGCAATAGCAGACTTAAACCAGATAGAGATGGTTCACAACTAGATGATTAAGCGTTAAAAAAATTGCCTTTTTTCCCTCCGTATTTTCATTTAATCATCCTTACTGTACTCAGAAGTCGCAAACCGTAAAAAAAAAGGCGCGGTCAGTGGGCAGCCTGACGTCACTCTTGTTTTCATTGTTTGAATACACGTCACAGTACTAACAGTATCTAAAAGGACCTGAGAAAACAATGCTCCTGGCAGTCAGATGTGAATGGAAAAGAACACTAAAAAGAAGCTAATTTGAATTATCCATAATACATTCATTCCCCATAGTCTTATTCTTGAAAGACAATATTTCGCTACCTGTTAGAAATAATTCGCAAATTACCCGTTACAACCCCATAGATGTAATCAATAAATAATAAAATAAAACGCAATCATCAGGTGGTTTAAAATCAAATGGACAATGCAATTCAGATATTTAAAAAAACACGCTGATTATAGTCACATTATTACACGCTAGTCTATAGACTGGTTCAGGAAACATATTTACATCAAGATACATCAGTACTTAAGTTGAAGAATGAAAGGGAGATTCAACATATAGATTGCTTAAAGATAACACGACATATTTTCTCCTTTAAAATTGAAAATTAATGTCATATCTCGTTAAGAAGGATCATTTGTTTATGACAGCCTAAACGACAACAACCATTAGTGTCGATAAGACTTTTACATAAACGCATCAATGCGTGGTGATAAAACAACACTACTTTCTTCCCTGTATTTTCACGCAAATGACGCGGAAAATACTAAAATTTAAATAAAAATTGTACATGACTTTATTTCAAAAGCTATCTGTAAGAAACAGATTGCATTAAGGGAAAATGTACCTTCAGTGTCTTAGTCGACTGCGAAAAAAATTTGAACTTTCGCAATTTTTGAAAAATCGGGTTTTCAACGAACATGAGACCTGAACCCTTAACTTAAGCATTCTTCAAGATACATCATTATCCAACAAGAAAATTTAATCAAAAACGATGGACCCTTCTTTTTGAAAATTTGGAAAATGTTCCAGGGGCTTCATGTGAAGTACCAATAAAATGAAAATATCGGTTTCAAATTAAAAGGTCCACGAAATTAGCCAGATTGATTGGGGAATATCGATTTTGGAGAAAATCTGATGAACGGAAGGACGGACGGACAAAAGTTTTGCCCTCATTCGATTTTTCGGTATCAAATACCCCCAAAACAAGGATTCTGACTATTCCACGTTATTGAGATTTTTTTTTCTAAATTTAGAAAAAGGATATATTCCCAGTTTTGTTACCAGGGTCCTGTAATAAGTTTTTCTGCCGGAAATTCGCCGTTCTTTTGCGCAGATTACATCACTTTCTCTCTACTCCGTAGGGAGAAAGTAAAAAGTTGTCCCGCGGAACGTTGTCTACCATTAGTCCACCGATGTCTTTTTTAAAGTTGCAAATACTAAACGGACTAACTCCAGTTTTACAGTCAACAATAGTACGTACAATGTTATTCCTTTGTCATTCACAACTCGAGAAGAAAAGTGCCGAAATTTCGTATCCGTTGTTTACAAAAGTTCTCAAAAAATTTTAAAAAGCGACTAGCAAACTAAGGTAGTGATATCACTTATTTTGTCTTGATTTCTCAAATATCAAAAAGGTTATTTGTCAAGCCCTCTCCGATGGTGTAACGGTTAGCGCATTGGACTGTTGTACCCAAGTCGGCGGGTTCAAACCCGATCGAAGCCGTGGATTTTTAAGGGCGAAAAAATCCTTAATCCTTCGGAGGGGAAGTAAAGCCGGCTGTCCCATGTTAGTAGATTTACTTGCATGTAAAAGATCCTCAAGCCTAAATGACGCCTCTGAGCTAAATTCAAATCGCCGGTTTCTCGCCCAAGATATGCCTCCTTTCACCGCTAGTTGATGAAAGGAGCGTAGCGAAATTTGCGTGGTCAGACGGAAAAGCAGGTCTCATGGCCTGAGTCTCGCCACGTAAAATAAGGCATTCAATTCAATTCAAATTAAAAGTTACGCCATTAAACATTAACGCCAAACAACCCACGTAATGCGCAAACCTTTGTCCGAGGAAGGAACCAAACTATTAATTTCACTTTGCATAGTTTATTTTGGCAGAGTTCAGTTTTGTGTTGTGCGAGGTTTTTGGGTTACAAAGACGTGAAATAGTTGCGCCACTCGTTTCCTTTCTGCATATTATCCAATGTGATATTTTCTGTCAGTGTTACCTTACGCAGTTCGCGTGCATTCAAAAGAAGATTAGGAGTTGGTTCTTTTCTGTGGAACAAAGTAATAATACAGAACCAATGTACAACCGGCGAGCATTAACTCAGTTTTTAAAAGTTTGTATGTAGGTTTGTTTGTGCTAACTTTGGTCCAAGAATATTACTCCAGCCGATCGAAAATATAATTTAATTTTTTGAATGTTTCAATACTTCGTTTTAGTCAGAAATAAGACAATTACAATATTGTGTGTTTTCTGAAACAATTATGCAATAGTAAATAATTATAAAAAAACCTCTTGTTGCGAGAAAGAACAGTTTCATATGAAAAGCGTCTATATTGAGTAGGATTAATTTAAATTTCCTCCTAGGTACAAAAACTAGAAAACAAAAATCAATCTCGTCACTCAAAGCCTGCACTGTTTTTGCCCATTTCCATTTTCAACAAATAAGATCGTCAGAAATTTATCATTTTAATAAATTTCACCTGATCATACACATTATTTATGACGATATTAGAGAGTACGCACTGAAATTTGTTTTCATACTCTGAGCACAGAGATTGGAGACAGACATCCAAACAATGAAATTCGTGTAAACTGGTTGTGGCAGAAAGTAATGACCAGGGCGTTACTGTAATGTGATATGCAATGTATCAACAAACATCCAGAAGTCACTGCGACCCCAAACAAAACCTCCAGTGGTCGCTGCAGCTAAATTCGAACCAGTTGTGTCTCTAACGAAATCAATTTAATCCTATATTCGAAAATCTTGGCAATCAAACATTCAAAATTTGTCGAATAATTCAGTTTTCGGTTTTCCAAAGGTGTGTTCTCAATATTACATAATGTACACACCTTTCAAAAATAAACTTGTTCTCGCAAAACAAAGCGTTTCGTAAATGCGTCGTGTAAACGAACATATTAAGTTTATTAATTGTTTACAAGTTTGTATGAAAAAATGTTTAGTAAACTTTCACTTCACTAAATTTAAACGTTCACTTTCATCAGTGGATATTCTTTATTGTGGAGATTATTGAAAAGCGAGAGCTTGTCGAAAACACATTTTCGACTACAAATTCTATAATTATTATACAATTATACAAATGACGAAATATATAATTTCAAGGTGATCAAAACATTGCTGGTGTAGTATGAAGCATTCACATTAACAAAATATGGAACATGTTATCATTACTTGGTGTATTCTTAATATATTCATGTTACAAATTCCGAGGATCCGTAAACGTTGCCTCACATTTCTAATCTTAAGTTAAAATTTTCATCAAAGTACTTTGCTAATACCCCTATGCTGACTTTGTTATTACTAAGATAAATACAACTTTATAAGAATACTTTTTATTATTTCATTTTTATAAAATTGCAAAATATGTCGTTAGTCGTTGCCAATCAGAAGCCATCATGCAACGTTATTTAAACTCAAGCGGTATAATTTTCAGGTTACTTCCTGAAGTCTCCTAAGTCTGGCTAGCTTCCAGCGTTCGGAGACCTGAGCTACTTTACAGAGGACCCTGGGAAGGAAGTTCCCGCTTGGAATGATGTAACCTAGAAAAGGAGACTAGTGCCTGGTTTTCCTTTGCAACAGGACACCGAGACGACCCCTGCGATTGGCTTTTTGTGTATTCGTACAAGAACAATCATTCAAACGGCCAATCATTCAAACGGCATGTGGCTTTAAATTTCTCAACAATATCGTAAATCAAAGCCAGAAGAAAGAAGATCTAAACCGTGAACAAAACTATCGAAAAGGAGACTTATCTCAAACTTGAAAAAAGGCAACACAATTTCGCGCGGTTGATTTTATTGTGACTACGAAAGAAAATAATTAATGGAAATTGTGAAAAACTGAGAAATGTTTAGGACATGTATTCAAAAAATATTTTAAAAAAATACAAATAATACCAAATTTAAAAATAAATTATTCCAGAGATTCACAAATTTCAGAGGTGTATAGGATTTGTTTACATTGAGGCTCTGAGAAGAAGTTAAAAGTAAGTCTACATTGTAAATTGTATAGTAATGCACCGAAAAGACGATATAACTTTCAACTAATACGAGACGAGATTTGAAAGTTATGATATCAAGGAAACAAAAATCAAGAATGGCAAGTAATATATTTTTTTTTCAGATTTTTCAAAAATATGTATTTTACAGCAATTTTGAATCTATTAAGTGTTTCTGGAGTGTGAATTAACTTCATTATTATTGATCGTGAATTACACATTTCCTTTTGAGACAATTCAAGAAAAACTGAAATTACTTCCAATTTTAAAGATCATTTACTTTAGACTATAATGAAAATTGAAATTCATAGAATACACTTTAATCTTGAACACTTGAACTACTTGAGTTTAAAACTAGATAACACTGAATATGATTTCGCCAAGTGGCAACGGTCCACTTGAGAGATACAAGATAGCGTTAAGAAGAAACTTCAATGCCTGAAAATACGCCGTACATTCGTGCTTAGGGCGTTTTGTCTTTTTATAATATTAAAATCTTATTACGTCTTAAAATGAAAGAATTCTCCACTGAAAAGATGGTATAAAAATCGAGTTCATGTGTTCCAAAATCTAACTCGACAAGCGAAAAATAATTGAAAACAATGGAATGATTGCATATGTAAAATGATGAAAACTGTCCAATTTGAATAGATCAACTTTTAGAAAATAAATACTTTTTCTGTAAATACATTTTTAGAAATAGATAAATTTAAGCTTACAGTATACTGTACGCTGTGGTTTATGTCCAAATATATGACTAATTTTGTGTTTAATATTTTCTAACGTTATTGTCAGAATATATTTTTCAATTTTTCTATATCAGTTGCGACACAATTTGATTTCTAGTTACCTAGTGCTCATTGATATTGTCAATCAACAATAAAATTGTGAAAAAATGTTTTAAGTACAACAATAATTACGAGAGATACAAGCAGCATTTTCCTTCAATGCACCCCTCCCAAATTATAATTGCCCATTATCAGGATCGACACATTATTGTGAAACATGTAATAAATGTAATGATAATCTCTTAAAAACACACTTATATCAAATTATTGTTATACTCTACCTGACGGCTAGTACATCAGTACCAGTCTACAAAAAAGTGGAATATCCTACTTTTGCTAAGATAATTTCCTCAAGAAAACATTATAAAACTGCCTGCTCTAAAGAGAGAAAATAAAGACTACAATAATGAGGTCAAAATTTAGGGTAATCGCCGATCAACTTAAGTTCACAAACAAATCTCGCAAAACGTGAACGGAACGAAAAAAAACGTATCTATTGCATGACGAGCTTGTGAAAGGAAAAACAAAACCATGTGGGAGATCTTTTAATTCGCGCTTCGAATGCGGAAGCTCATTAATAATAATAATAATAATAATAATAATAATAATAATAATAATAATAATAAATACCGCAATTTACCACAATTATTATTAATTGTGGTAAATTGTGGTATTTATTATTATTATTATTATTATTATTAATATTATTATTATTATT